GAAGTCGAGCACTTTACGGTAGCACAGTTTAACGAGGACCAATACCGCACACCCTCGGTCCCTACGCAGACTGATCCAAGTGGTCACCCACCCGCACACTGACCGCAGCCAGTGATGCTTGACTTCGGTGATCTGATGGAAACCGTGTCTTAACGATCAGTCCACTGCGAGACGCTACACTATCTTAAAGATTTTTTTTAACTTTGCCAATCACTAGCTGTGAAGCTGAGCGCTCTTTCTCCAGGATGTCATAGATAGAAAACAAATATAGGACAACAATGTCGAACTATCGACTAAATCATTTATCAGTTCTTTCCATAAATTGTGATTTAACGAAGGACTTACAATGTGATGAGCAAATAAAGGAATTTGCAGCACAAAAATGCAGAAAGGTTGCTTTATAATTTATATAACATAACTACACATAACCTGTCAATTTCTTTTGCAACAGTGTTGTACAGTTGCTGTTTGTATAGACAAATAAAAAAAATAAATAAATAAAACTATTTTATTGTCCTGTTTTTTTTCTATATACTTATCTACATCACTATAGAAAACAGTTTTTTGACAGAATTGCTATTAGGGCCCCAAAGTAGTTTCAGCCCAGGGCCCCACAAATTCACGATCCGCCCATGCCTTTAGGTGAGGCCATCAAAACCTCTCCCAGCAACTGGGCGAACCTCTGCACTAAATGCGGAAAAAGGTCTTGTAAGGAAACACAAAGAAATATCAAAACAAAACAAATAAGGTTAAAATGTATTCAAAATATTTGTGTAAGATTCTTATTTAGAGTGCTCTTTTTGATGAACTCTGAAAGAGATCTACAACCTCGTGATACAGTCAGAGACGATGCTATTAATGATTTAATTTTAGAGTTGAAAGTTAAACAAGTAATAAAAAAAATAAAACTAAAGTCAATTCCTACTTAGATCAACGAAGAAATTTTTTATTTTAGTTAATTTTTATTAAATAATTATTGAAAATAACACTAATATTCGTAACACAATTTTTTCTCCCATATAAAACTAAAATTAATTAAATTTAATTAATGAATTGATATTTGAAAAAACTGTATTAACATCAAGTGTCATCCACCACAAGTTTTAAAAAAATGCATTTGAACTTAATTGGAGGAATAAAAAACATTTTATTAACGATTGAAAATTTGAACAGGAAAGTGTGAACTAATAGTAGGAATTGAATAAGAAAAGAAAGTTATCTAAGAAAAAACTAGCATCTCAAACAAACAAACCTCCTCATTTTTTAAAGCGAACTAATTTTTATGATATAAAATTTAATGCAAACTGAAACAAAAAACATAGTTGTTCAGTTATTCAAAATATTTCTATCATTCGTAATTGGTAAGTTTGTTTTTACTCATGATTATATCAGTAGGGATAATTTTTATTGATGTTAATTTTGTCCATCAATCCGTTTTTCATGACGCTCACACAAGTGGCATTTCCTCACCAAGGAAAGCACACTGACTAACATTAAATCGTTTTCAAAAAATCATTTACCTTCGATAACAGTTTGAATTCAATGGAGGTAACCCCTAAGAACGATCATTCTACTGTGGAACAGAGAGTGGTCACTCCCCTGAAATTTCACTGTATACTAAGACATTTCCTAGTGCCATTCTAATAGCAAAAATATCCTTAGTTATGAATAGATTATCTGCTGGAGTCCCCTTGTAGGTTCTTCCTCTGCATGTAACTCAAATGCCGGTTAATTTATCTTGAAAAGTTCTCAACGAAGACAAGTTTGTTCCATTATCTGATCTGGAAGTTCTCTGGCAATAGTTCGAAATCTCGAGTTGAACGTTGATATTACCACAAAACCATCATAAATTGGTTAGGTTGACCATTATATCCAAGGTGTGCTGACATTAATGAGAACTAGACAAAATTGAAATAAATTATATGCTAAAAATTTTAGCATAACAATCCATTTAATTTTTGCCTTGTTCTCTTAGGCTTAGTCACCATACATGAGAAAACCACAAAGATAGAATAACTGTGGGATGTCTGATACAAGAATAAAAAGATATCTTGTGCAGGCAAAATAAAGAGGAACAGTAGAATCTTATAAGGACAAATTCTCATGGTGTTGAAATGTCACAAAGTTAATTATAATTGTTGAGTCAAATATTTGACTCAAACAAAAAGAAACAAACTCGGACAAATATCACGTAACAGAATATCATGTAACATATAACTAGCTAGAATACAATAGCTTGCTGTAGCCAAAATACAAAATAGCTATAACTAGAGTTTATCTTAAAATGAAATTGTCAATAAACCATCCTTGAATAATAAAGGGTATGTATTAATAAAATCCTGAATACAAGCAACCCAGGTTAGAATTCTAACTGTAGAGGACTGATTCAAATGCTACCTCCTGTGCTGACTTAAGTTATGACAAAAATTACTCCTAAATATAGATGTGTCTAAGGTTTGAGCCCTGTTCCCCTCAGGAAGTTGGCAAAGATTTTCCTCTTCATATAATGCAAATAGCTCTTGAAAAATTACTCAATGGTCTTTTGCAAGCCCAGACTAACCCAACTGCATCTCTTTTCAAGTTTTAATGTTCTTAAATTCTTTTCAATATGAGCCAGCCTTCAAGTTGATGGTTTTCTGGTTTGAGATCCCTCAAGCATTTTGAAGAACCAAGATCTTTGTAGAGCTGTCACTGGAACTTATCTATTCTTGAACCTGTTATCTTAATCGATTACTATGAATGGCTTTCATTATTTCAAATATCCCATAAGTTTGTAGGGTTCTAAGTTATATCTTCCACCCAATACTCCTATAATGCCTGTTAGCTACAATTTCAAAATCTGAAGATAAATTTATCCAAATATTTTATTAAGCTGTTCTTGTTTTCTGAATTTCTTTCAGAATTAAATCTAATAAAATATGTTTCACCATAAAATATGGTTTTTAAAAAAGTTTTTTTTTCTTTCTTTCTAAAACCAAAAATGATTTTAAAAAAATTGGAAAAACAACTTGCTTGCTCATAATATATTTCTTGATGACGTAAATTATGATAAAAAATAATTTATTGAAATTACAATTTACTAACACTATTCAAGAAAATTTTTTTATTCACAATTAAAAGATGTTGTATTAATTATTAAGAAATACAGTAGAACATATTTTTTAAACAGTTTATTCATACTAAATCTTAAGCAACATT